GTGACCCTGTCCACGAACGCGGGCTGGGCCCCACACGTCCATGTGAAGAGTCTGCAGGGGAGCCTCCTTCGGAGGGAACTCGGAGGAGTGAGGAGCGGTGTGCTGCCGCCCCTCGATGCAAGGAACGCAGGTAGGGGCAGGCCGCGGGGGAAGGGGAGGTAGAGACCGGGGAAGAACAGTGACAAGGACACGGGAGGCCATGCCTTGTAGTCAGGGCAGGGAGGGGTGACCAAGGCGGTGGTGCCAGAGGAGAGTCTGGTGAGACAGAAGGCGACACGAGCAGGGGGCAGACTCAGGACCAGACCGGGACGCTGCAGCAAACACCTGACCCGACGCGGCGACCTGACCAGACTTAGCAACCGGAGGAGACACGGTAGTCAGGGTGTACAGGCTCAACCCAGGCTGACGGGTGAACGTGGCCAGGTGTCGGCCCGTCCGAGTACATAAAAAGTGGGTCACCGGCTGACCTCCAGAAGAGAACTGGTCAACCCACGCGTCCTGAAGGTCAGCTCCACTCACCAAGTTGGTGGAGAACGAGGAGAGGTGGAGGCCAGATAGAGAGCCAGACGGGACCGCCAGACACGGCAGAACCGTGGAGGAGTGTGCAAGGACCGGACCCCTTGAGGGGTCAGCCAGAGAGACTGCCACCGGCCGACTGAGCGGCGTGAGTGTGGTGCAGTCGCGAAAGAAGTAGCAGGAAGCTCCTGAGTCAAGCGTGAAGGTGTGCAAGGCCGCAGCAGGCGCAGTACCAGAGAGAGCAGACTCACCAGCACCTGGAGCAGTCGACTCACTAGCGCCAAGAGCAGCAGCCTCACCGGCACCTGGAGCAAGAGACGCACCAGCACCTAGAGCAGCAGCCTCACCAGCACCTAGAGCAGTAGACTCTATACCTGGGTCAGGCGGCACACACAGGTAACAGGCACCCTCAGCACTAGTAGGCAACGCATAAGTGGAAGTGAGGACAGCATCATAGTCAAGAGCAAAGATATCTACCCTCTGCCTAAGCAGCTCCAGCCAGGAGGGGAGCTCAGCGTCGTCGCCAAACTCTGTACGCCAGGCGTCGCTCAGACAGGAGAAGCAGCGGGACTCGGTGTGACCAACCGTCCCGCAAGGCTGACCAGCCCGAGCACCTGTGCGAATGATGTACGGGCAGTGAGCAGTACTCCGTGACCCTCTACTCTGAGCGTACCACTCACGAAGCTGCTGGGGCGAAAGGATCTCGCGCTGACGCCGTTGCAGTTGCACCTGGCCACTACAAGAAGCTCCCGAACGACCCGCTCCAGGGCGACTCCCACCGCGGCCACCCCTACAACCCCAACTAGCGTACCACTCACAAAGCTGCTGGGGCGAAAGGATCTTGCGCGGACGCCGCTGCAGCTGCACCTGGCCACTACAAGAAGCTCCCGTACGACCCGCTCCAGGGCGACTCCCACCACGGCCACCCCTACAACCCCAACTAGCGTACCACTTACGAAGCTGCTGGGGGGTGAGGGACTCACGCGGACGTCACTGGAGCTGCATCTGGCCACCGCTTGTAGCAGCAGGAGTGGCAATGTAGCAGTAGAAGAAGCGGGCAGTGCGGGTAGGGCAGGTGCTCACCAGGGGCGGGTAGGGCAGACGCCATCGGCGGCGGTGGGCAGGCACTCGGCGGGTGGCTGCAGGCGCTCGACAGGCGGCTGCAGCGGGGCCGCGACGGCGGCTACGACGGGGCCACGACGGCGGCTGCAGGCACGACGACGGCTACGGTTGGGCAGGGCCGCGACAGCGGCAATGGCGAGGCAGGGCCGCGATAGCGGCTACGGGGGGGCCGCGGCGGCTGCTGCAGACGCAACGGCGGCAAGGCAGGGCAAGGGCGGGCGCGGGGTGGGGCAGTGCGCGGGCGGGCCGCAGATGAGGCAGGGCGCGGCGGCCAGGGGGCGCCGCGACGAGCAGGGACGACTCCCAGGGGGCGCCGCGACGAGCAGGGGCGACGCCGCGCGGGTCTCGAAGGGGTGTCGTGACGAGTAGGAGTGGCGCCGCGCGGGTTCCGCAGGGGCGTCGCGACGAGCAGCGGCGACGCCCGGGTCCCGCAGGGGCGTCGCGATGAGCAGGAGCGGTGCCGCGCAGGTCCCACAGGGGCGTCGCGACGAGCAGGAGCGGCGCCGCGCGGGTCCCGCAGGGTCGTTGCGACGAGTAAGGGCGACGCCCGGGTCCCGCAGGGGCGTCGCGACGAGTAGGAGCGGCGCCGCGCGGGTCCCGCAGGGGCGTCGCGACGAGCTAGGGCGATGCCCAGGTCCCGCAGGGGCGTCGCGGGGTCCAGGGGCGGCGTCGCGGGGTCCAGGGGCGGCGTCGCGGGGTCCAGGGGCGGCATCGCGGGGTCCAGGGGCAGCGCCACGGGGTCCAGGGGCAGCGCCGCGGGGTCTAGGGGCAGCGCCGCGGGGTCCAGGGGCGGCTCCGCGGGGTCCGCGGGCAGCGCCGCGGGGTCCAGGGGCAGCGCCGCGGGGTCCAGGGGCGGCTCTGTGGGGTCCAGGGGCAGCGCCACAAGGTCCAGGGGCGGCTCCGCGAGGTCCAGGGGCAGCGCCGCGGGGTCCAGGGGCAGCGCCGCGGGGTCCAGGGGCAGCGCCGCGGGGTCCAGGGGCAGCGCCGCGGGGTCCGCGCGCGGCTTGCAGGGCGGGGCAACGGGCTGGCACTCGAGGGCGCGGGTAGAGCAGGCGCGGGCAGGGCAGGCGCTCTAAGGCGCGGGTAGGCAGGCGCAAGGCGCATGATGAGGCAGGTAGGCACGACAGTGCGCGTCGGGCAGGGCATAAAAAAAAAGTTTGTGGTGGGCCCTAAAAAAACGTTCCCACAAGGGAACCTGCTCTAAAACCATGTGAGAATGAGAACAAGGAATGACTAGAATGAGAACAGTACAAGGTTTGTGTAGGCAAAACCTAATAGGGTTGTACCCCATAAGGAGTGCCCCACTACAGCCTAGAGTATAGTTCTGACACGTCGCCCTTTGCTGATCACCACGACGGGTTTGCGGCCGCCAGCTTCCAATTATCGGCAGCTTCGCAGTGGCCCCCAGTGCAGGTCGACGAAGCCTGTCGATCTGCTCGCCCAAGTCGGCGTCGCACACTGCAGTCGGTCGGCTGCACCTCCCGCACAACCGACCACGAAGTCAGCTCCGCCCAAGCGAGGACGGGGCCAACACCCAACTCCCGTTGACATTCCTTCGGCAAAATATTTGATTTCGTCAGACTTTAACAGCACGACGAACGAGCGCGATTGCGCCATCGAAATCAACGGTCCTTGCTCAATCGCATCTGAAATTCGCGTAAGGAGGTTCCCTCCAATCTCGCGCCCATTTCGACCGTCAGATCAACATCATGTTTCATCTACAATCCACATTCCAACTTTGAGTTCGTTCTGGTCAAGACCAATTCCATCCTTCAAGTCGAGATCTACCTTCATCAATGGCCTACATTCCAACCTCCATTCGAATTAGCAAAACGCATTTCAGTCGGCGGATTCAGCTGAGAAAAATATCAACGGCATCTTTGCTAGTGTGGGACCCTTTTACGATACGTACAAGGCTGCCTGATTTAGAAGGTGGGAGAGTGTAAGGCATTACAATACCACACTGCAATCGCCCTTTAGCACGTATGATTCTGAGTGGATCGCGTTAGGGCCTATTTTTCAAGGGTATAACACATTGATTACACTTGCAAACGACCGCTTTTTGGAGGTTACCCTGATTTTGCATGCCTGTTTTGTTTGTTACCCTTGCTGCAAACGTTTACACATACAGAATAGGCTGATTTGGCGAGTTGTCAAAACATAAATGCTTATGCTGTGTAGGCTATATGGGTGTTAGCACTAGGGGGTACAGAAATTCACTCGATGTTGTTCTTGTACCCCTCCCCTTGACCTAATCAACACACTATTTTTCTCGACATGGTATAGAGCGGGTCCTTCCTAAGGACCATTTTTTTGGAGGGCCCACCGTTTAGCTTTTTTTTCTTGCCCGAAATCTGCCCGGTTAGCCCGCGAACCGCCCGAGCATAGACCGTATAGCCCGCGCCCGGCCCGTTTAGCCCGCGAACCGCCCGAGCGTGGACCGTACAGCCCGCACCAGGCCCGTTTAGCCCGCGAACCACCCGCGCGTAGCCCGTACAGCCCGCGCGCCGCCCTTGCACAGCCCATACAGCCCGCGCACCACCCGCGTACAGCCCGTACGGCCCGTGCACGACTGGCACGCAGCCCGTACAGCCCGCGCCAGGCCCACACGCAGCTAGTACAGCCCGCGCTAGGCCTGCACGCAGTCCGTACAGCCCGCGCCAGGCCCGTGCACACCTGCCCTGCCGCCCGTGCACTTGCACTGGCCCTACACCTTGCCAGCCCGCTGTCCCTACTGCCCTACTGCTGCAACTGCCCTGCTTCTACTGCACTACTGTCACTGCCACCGTAGTGCCAGTGTAGTGCCAGCAAGCGCGACTGCCCTACCCTGCCTGCGGGACTGCTGTCCGCGTGCTGCTCTGCTATTAGCACGCCCGACCGCTCTGCTCGCTATGGCCACGCTCAGTGTCCTCACGTTTGATCCAGAGGGCCGCCTAATAGACTTCGATGCGTGGCTCGACAACCTACAGCTGTTCTTACTGAGCGATTCCAAGGACGGAGTCTCACTGTTTGACCTCACGTCTGGCGCCGCTCCCGCCCCTGCCGCCACATCTGACAGTGCGACTCGCTCACAATGGCTTACTCGTGACGCTGCTGCTCGCTTAGCCGTTCGCAACCACCTGCCGTTAGCCGAACGCGCTCACTTCGGATAGCATAAGACTGCAAAAGCACTGTACGGCGCTGTAGTCGCTCGTCACTCCTCCCCGGCCACTACTGCTCTAGGCCGCCTTCTCCTGCCCTACCTGTTCCCAGAGCTGTCCGCCTTTGCCATAGTAGCTGACCTCGTCACTCACCTTCGTACTAGTGACACTCGCTACCGCGCTGCGCTTCCCGCCGAGTTTCTCACCAAGAACCCGCCTCCCATGTACATCACTCTCTACTTCATAGTCACCCGCCTCCCTGACTCTCTTAGCGCCGTCCAGGACCTCCTTCTAGCCGTTGACCCCACCACCCTCACTGTCGACCTGCTCGAGAAGCACCTCCTTGCAGCTGAGACTAGCATAGTCGCAGTAGGCGCTTCTCGTGGCACTCCTCGCACCCCCTTCTTTGAGGGGTGTTCGCCCTCCCCCCTTCTCCCCTCAGTCGCCTCTGCTGCAGCTGTTGACTACCTTCGTGCTGAGGAGATAGGAGCTGTGTCTGCCCCTAGTGGGAGGCGCCGCAGCGGCAGGGGCAGGGGAGGCAGGGGCGGTGGGGGCGGCAGAGGTGGAGGCGTGGTGGGGGCGGTGGAGGCGGTGGAGGGGGCGGCGGGTGGCAGAGGGAGTGGTGGTGGGGGTGGAGGTGTAGGTGGCGGCAGTGGTGGCGGCAGTGGCGGTAGTGGCGGCGGCAGTGGTGGCTACAGTGGGAGTGGAGGCGGTGGCAATGGTGGCGGCCGGGGTGGTACGAGTCAGAGGGGAGGCCTGGGTGGTGGTCAGAGGCAGCAACAGCGGCAGCTTTCGCCCCAGGAGCTACGTGAGTGGTTTGCTCAGCGTGGAGCGGCTGGGGTTAGTGGTCCCTGCCCGTATGTCATTCGCACAGGTGACCTCACTGGTCAGACATGCAGGAAGCTCCACACCCAGTACCGCTGCTTCTCTCGTCTTATCCATGCCATCCGCACAGAGTTTCTAGACGCGCCTGAGCTCCCCCGCTGGGCAGAGCTGCTTAAGCAGGGTGTGGACATCTTTGCTCTTGATTATGATGCTATACTATCTGCCATGTATGCATATACTGTTAGTGCAGAGGGTGACTGTTACCTGTGTATGCCGCCAGACCCAGGTATAGAGGTTGCTTAGGTGCTAGTGAGTCTGCTACTCTAGGTGCTGGTGAGTCTGCTCTCGCTGGTACTGCGTCTGCTTCGGCCTTGCACACCTTCACGCTTGACTCAGATGCTTCTTGTTGTTTCTTTCGCGACAGTACCACAGTCACACCACTCTCCGCACCTGTTGCTGTCTCTCTACGAGGTGGGGTGGTAAAACTGCCAGCCATGCGCGTCAGGGACAAAGCCCAGGAAGACACAAGGAACGGCGCGGGAGGAGAGCTTGTCCGCGGACGTATCGCGGACAAAGGCACGAGAACCCCAGACCCGGAACACGGACGCATCGCCAACCTCTCCCGTCCAACACAATGTCGGCGAGGTCTCCGGCATGGAGACACGGGGCCAGAGGTTGAGCTGATGCGCAGCATACCGGACCGCAAACGGCCACAGAATATGGGGGGCAGCCGCATGGATCAAGGAGGTACGAGGCGACCTCCATGACCAAGCCAATGCGGCGCTCAGCAACCCCATTCTGCTGCGGAGTG